AATTACTGAACCTATTTTAGCCTCATCTTCAAGACGGAGATAATAATAACATGATTTCCTACTCCTGTGGTTGCTAAGGTTACAGAAAAACTCAATTAGAACATTTGGCAGAGTGGCTGGCTCATAGTAAATGCTCATTACGTGTTGCTGCTCACCACTACTGCTATTATTGTCGTTGTGATTACCATTAGGAATGAAATTGAGCCTTGTGAATCGTACATAACTGTCTTCATTTTGCAGACAAAGGAGCTGAGGCTCAGAGAGATGCAGCAGCTGAAGGGACAGGGATAAAGTGGGACAGGACCAAACTTTGAGGCCCGCTGAGTGAGTGGCTCTCACAAGAGGGAACTCACCTCACCCCCAAGCCCGTCTGAGCAGGTGACCTTCCGGCCCTGAGCCTCAGGGGCTGCGGAGGGAAAATTCAGGATTGACTAGGAGCCAGTTCCAGTGCTACCAACCTTGTTGTGTTCTAGTGTAATTTCAGAAGTTTCTTGTCCTGGAACTATGCACATTCAAGGTCAACTTAAGCTTTAAAAGAAAACCACACTCGCTACTCCAGCATCTGCTTTATGTTAGATTCCAGGATGGGAGAAAGAGCTACAGAGTTAATGTTCCTGTCCATCATCCCTCAGTCCATTCCTCCATCCGTCATTGCTTCTATCCACTCGTCCTCCCATCCTTCCATGGGTCCATCCATCTAGCCAACCATATTGCAAGTACTGCTGAGTGCTAAGTGTCCTGAGAGTGCTTTTCTTCTCCGAGTGTTATTTTTCCCACCAGACAGCACAGTCACTGGGCCTTGGGGGTGGATTTATTCTGGATTTATCCCCTCACATACAAAATCCTCAGATGCCTAAGTCCCTTGTATAAAATGGCATAGTATTTGCATATAACCTACACAACCTTTCAGGACACTTTCAATAACTCTAAATCACTTATACCTGGAACAATGTAAATGCTATGTAAGTGGTGTGATCAAAACACACGATGAATGTTTAAATTTTTAAAAATCCATTACATTAAAACATGCATTGCTATTAATCCCCCTCAGAATACTCGTTCTCACTTCAGATACACATCTCATTTTTCTTGGCACTTTTTGAAGTAGTTCTGGAAGTTTTCTTTCCTGGGCCTTTTTAGTTATGCTGTTCTGGCTGCCTTGATTACCTAAATCCATTCAGAACATTACCATTGATGGTCATTTTGACTTTGGAGAAGAGCCAGAAGTTGCACAGTGCCAGGTCCTGTGAATAAGTTGGATGAGGGCACATCGTGTTTTTCCCAGCCTGCCTTTCCCTTAGAAGGCACACTGTACAGCATCCACCATAGCTTTTATTTATTTATTTAGGTACCGGGGATTGAACTCGGGACCTTGCGCTTGTCAGGCAGGTGGCGAACCACTGAGCTAAATCCTCGGCCCTACCCTAGCTTTTAAAATCACACCTTGTGAAGACACTTATGAAAGAGGACTTCCAGAACTGCTTCAGAAAGTGTCAAGAATGATGGGATAAGCCTGCTTGAAGGGAGGAGTATTTTGAGGGGGTGGGGGTTAATAGCAATGTGTCTTTCCCTGTAATAAAATTTTTCTTTAAATATTCATTTATACATACTAGTTATGTATACATACTACTCAAACATACTAGTACATACTGTACTAGTATGTACCTCATACATACTAGTTATACTGTATAGTTCAGGGAATGATGACAAAAAAAGTCTGTATGGTACAGAAGCAAATATTTTCCACTCACTTCTGTTGAATCCACAGATGTGGGCAGACAAAAAGGGCCACTGTATCCTCAATTCCAGAAAGGAAGTGGTGAGTGAGGACGTGGCGCCCAGTAGGAGGGGAGTCACAAGGATGGTTACTTCTGGCTTTCCATGGCTCAGCGCAACGCCAGCAGGGTGAAGATTCTCAGACGCCGTCAGTCCAGGAGGCCCATATGCACCCAGCGATCGGATCGGATGTAGTGTGCTCTGAGCGTTAGCAGATGCCCTTTTCACAGCTCAGTCCTTTTTATGAGTCCAGTAACTAAGCAATGCAAAGACACACACTAAGGAACCAAACTAGTTTTGTTGTGTTTTGTCTGGGTGCTGCGAGGAGAACCCAAGGCCACGTGCATGGTATTCAAGCGCTGCACCCCCACCCCTGTGGTTTGGCTTTCCTTTAGTTTTGTTTCACAAACAACGCCTTCGGAGCAGGCCACAGAGTCTAAAGGCCCGGAGGAGTCACCGGAGGCGCCTGGGAACCTGGAGTTTTCGGGAAGGTAGCTGCATTCCGAGGAGAGGGCTCTGGTCGGGTGCAAGGCGACGTGTCCCGAGCAGGGTGTGCAGGGGCCGGGTTCCAGGCGCAGGAAGTGAAGTTCCGCGGGGTCCGGTGGGTGCCCTCGGGGCAGCCTGACCGCCTGCTCGGCCGACCAATCAGAGCGCGGCCGGAGGCCGAGGCTTGGCGATATTTAAATTACCGTGCGGGTCGGGACCCAGCCCCTGGTCCCGCGCTCAGCTCGGCCGTAGCCGGTGAGTACGTTTAAGGGTCACCCCCGTCCCGGCAGCTCCATCTCTGGAAGTTGGTCGGGGACAGGGGAGGCCGCAACAGGTCTTCGCCGGGTGTCTGGGTTCGGCTGCCTCCCGCAGGGTCCGGGGTCCTGCTGACCCGCGGTCCGTTCCCGTCCGGGCTGGCGGGCGGGGCAGCGGGGCGGGCTCTCGGGAAGCCGTCCCGGGGATCTCCGGAGCCGGCTTTTAAATAATCCGTGAGCCATTCCAGCGATCGGGGTCCAGTAAGGAGAGGTGACGGGCGGCGAGCGGTGAGTAGCTGCGTCCTCGCCCTGGAGCCGGAGTGGCGCCCGCGGACTGGGCTGGGGCTTGCGCGTTCCTTTCCAGATAGAAAGAGCAGGAGACCGGGTCAGAGGAGTCGGCCCTGCCCCTCCCTGGCCCCGCAGCAGGTGGCCCGAGCCCCGAGCGGCCCCCGGGCTGCGGGAGAGGGCAGTGGCCCGGTTGCTCGGCTAACAGGAGATGGGGGCAATCGGGTAGGACTCGTAAACTTTTCCCGCTGCTTGGTGTCCCGCGCCGCACCTCCCGGGCCACACTTCCACGCTTCGGAGCGGAGCCGCGGCGGGGGCTTGCCGAGTTCCGGGGCGCGAGCGGCGGTGACCCAGAGGAGGCTGGCCCGGGGCTGGGGGGCTCCGGGAAGGGCCCAGGGGCGCAGGGCACGGAGCGCCCCGGGCTGAGTCCGCCAAGAGCCAACCTTCTGGTCTCCTAAGCGGAGTGCGAAGTGCAACTGACCTAGCAGGAGGGGGACCTGGGGGCGCAAAGGAAAACTCCCCGCGGCGGCGGGAGAGCTCACGCACCCCTGGCTGGAAGGATCCCCGCTCCCTCTGCGGCCCTCCTGGTTGCCCAGCCCGGAGATCTTCAGCTTGGCTAGGATAGCGAGCCCAGTTTCCCCAGGCGCGCTGGGCAAGGACGCGCCGACCCGACAACAAAGGGAAACGTGGGCAGACAAGAGCTTCGCGGCTCTTCCCGGAAGAGTTGGGGCTCGGGATCAGTTTCTTCTAGAGCGGGTCGGAGTGGCGAGGGGGGAGCAGAGCTCCAGGTCCCCATCTCTCTGGCCGGAGTGTCCCAGTTGCTGCTCTACTCGAACCGCGGAGGGGAAGTGGCCAAGTTGCTTCAGCAACCCCCTCCCCCAGGCGGTGGAGGATTTCTGAGGCTCCCGGCTTCCCGCGCCCGCCAGCCAGCCGCCTGTTGTGCGTCCGGCAGCTCGGGACAGGCTCCTGCCCCGGAGGGAGGTGGGCCGGAAGGGCCCAGCCCGGCGGTGCTTTGGGGGAAGTCGGGTAAGCAGGCGCCCCAAGTTTCCTGCAGCTACAGGTTGTCCCGCGAGCCCGAGGCGGTGATCGACCTTTCTCCAGGGGCCACCGGCCCGAGAAAGGTTCCCGGGACTTTAGTGCATGGCTGGCTGCAGAGCGTTGTTAAGCGAGCGCACGATTGGGGTCCTTGAAGGTCCCCTCAACTGTGACACCCCCTCGGAACTCTGCAGCAGTGAGTTGGGTTGAACCATATATATATGTTTTGCTTCGGAGTTTTGGATTTTGGCAGATTCATGTAATTTAACTTGGTGACGTTCCTAACTTTTTCTCTTACACTTGTGAGTTCACTCTTTCAATACACGAGGAGCTATGTTGTGGGTCAGAATGAGCCTCCGGGCACGGTGGAGTCATTCTCTGGCTGCCACCTGTGCCCTAGCTGCTTTACCTGGTATTTCCTTAGTCAGCCAGCCACCGCAGAGCCCTCACTTGGCAGATGATCAAAGGTAGAGATCTCAGAATGGGGGAAGAAGCTAACATTGTCACAGAGTGAATGTGGGACTGGAGACCCTGTCGTGTCTCAAGCCCTTGGGCTGCGGTCTCTTCAGCAGTTCCCCTCAGCCTAGTTTTGTTTTCCTTTAAGATGCCCCTTACCTTTTTTATGAATTTCCTTATAATTATCCATCCTAGAATATTTCTCTGTGTTCTAGTACAGTGATGTAAACTACTGCAATAAAGGACTTGTTGAAAACAAAACCTTAAACCAGGTATTGTGTTGTTAGTATTGCTTAAAATATGAAAGAAATGAGTTTTTAAGGGGACAGGCATGACCTTTGTCATTGAATGCTTCATTAGAAACTGTATAAGGCATCTCAGGTGATTGCAGCTCTTCCTGGAAGGATGGGTAATGGGTGGCTTGGGGAAGAGGCAGGAAGGCTGGCTACCCAGAACCTGGGACCTGTGAGAGCTGCCTGGTTGGCATGTAGATGTGACTGCTGATGTGGAAGCTGCCTGTGGCTGCTGGGATTGCCACTGTCATTGCCAAGGTGAATCAGAAACTGCATCAGTGGCTGTGCCAGGTGCAGGCCCAAGAGAAAGCATCTGATTGGCCGTGGTTGGCTCGCCCCCCCAGGACTTACCTGGGTGGCTCAGTGACCTCACAATGAGGGGCAGGGCCACCTCCGGCAGGACTCATAAAAGTGGGCTCAGAAATCAGGCAGCCCATCCCTCCCAAGAAAGACACCGTGGGTGACAAATGTACCACAGGGATCCTTTTAAAGCAGAAAGATGTTGAGAAGTTCCATCTAAAGAAGAGAAGAAAATGAAGCACCTCAGTCACCCTGCTTTTAAACCAGTGTTTGCTGAAATTCGGTTCTCTGGAGTCCAGGCTCAGGATCACGTTAGGTATCTGTCTAAAACTGACTTTCTGGGTCCCTTTTTCTCTTTGAATTCAGTGCAGTTGGAGTGAAAACCAGGAATCCACACCTTAAAAAGCAGAAAAAATAATAAGATGGCCTTATTGATTTGGACCTGTATAAGGCATTTGCCCCGGAGAGAGTAGTTTCCAAAGTTTTCAAAGTCAGTTTCAGGGGAAGGTGACTGCCCTCACCAGAACAACTGGTAGACCAGTTCTGCCATGAGTGAATCCAGAGAAGAGGTTGTCTGCTGCCCGGGTCGGAGGGAACAGTCACAAGCGGTCCTATAGGCAGGACAGGCCCCATCCTTCCAGAGACTCTGAGACTACTGACAGGCAAATGCTTTTTGAAAGAAAATGACTATTTTTGTCAGTCCTCCTGCCCTATTTTATCTCAGCACTACTGCTTTATCTACTGTGTACCAGGTTCTGGGGCTACATAGGTGCGAAAGTTAGGGTCACCCATAGCTGCTGACGTAGATCAGGTCGAAGCAACATGATAAGGGTGATTCGGAGCTTTTTACCTCACAGCCGTTGTCTTAAGTGTCCTGCAGGTGTGTCTGGAAGCCTGAAGTGTCCTTGGAAAGAGACATGAATTGGCCAGGCAGGTTTTCCAGTTCTCAAACTTAAGATGTCTTCCGAATTAATCACCAGGGGAGCTTGCAGCTCAAAGTGCAGCTCAAGGGCCCCATCTCAAAACTTAGTTTTGGTCACCTGCATTTGAAGCAAACATTTCATTTTATGCTGACATAAATGGTGGTCGATTTAGTGTTGGGCACTCCATGAGCTACTCTTCTCAGTGGCTCTTGGGACCCAGTGGGGTTGTGAAAGTTGAGGTGGAGTGTCAACACGATGGACTTTGAGATCCACCTGGGGGATCAGTGGGACATACTTCTGGGTGTGTCGGGTGGGTCATGGAGGCCTAATCTTGGGATCTATATCTGGTCCCTCACCCCTTACTTTCTGGGACTGTTTCTCAGCTCAGTTTTCTGGCCACCATGAAGTAAACCTCTTTACTCCATGATGCCCTTCCACCATGATGTGTCTACTTCGGAGTCAGCCAACCATGAACTGAATCCCCTGAAGCTGTGAGCCAATTAAATCTCTCCCCCTTTAAGTTGTGGGCATGGAATATTGTGTCCAAGCAATGGGAAAGTCAACTATACAGGGGTTTAATAGGTGAATACCCAGACCTTTCCTTTGGGTACAGCCATGAAAACCAAGCTGAAAAACTCCACTTTGAGTTGACTTTTTTCACTTGTCTGGTGCTTCTTAATTGGTGATATTTTAATATTGTATTAAAATTTACTTTAAAATGTAAGAGGCAACTACACTTTGGGGAAGAATGCAAAGAAATCTGAACTCGTAACTCTAGTTGCCTTCCAAGGCAATGGGTGGTAGCCTGCCCAGTGCAGAGGTGAGTGGGAGTGTGCAGTTCATCTGGGACTTCCCATCTGCATTTTCACCGAGGGAGTGTGCAAATTTACCCATAGCTCTCCTGGGACAATTCTTTCTGTCTCTGTGGCTTGGTGGCATTACCAGGAAGCCAGCCTTTCTCAGCCGCTGAGCCTTTAATCCTTGCAGCTGCTGTGGTAGAGGCTTAACTCCCAGCCTGTCCTTCAGCAAGCAGCTAGCTAAGGTGTGAGCATGGTGTGTGTGCATTCGAGACAGTCAAAAGGAGCCCTTTGGAACTGTCCCCGGGGCTGTGGTACACACTGTGTGTGTGATGTGGGGCTGATCCTGAGGTGTGGGATGAACGAGCTTGGTCCTGGGAGCCACTTGGAGCAAAATCAGCCCATGATTTTGCTAAAGGGAGACTTTAGGTTCACTCTGTTGGTGACTGTCTGCAGAGGTAATCGGAGGGTGACAGGATCTTAGAAGAGCAAGGGCTGGGGGTGTCGCTCAGGGGTAGAGCACATGTCTAACACGTGAGAGGTCCTGGGTTCCATCTGCAGCGCCCCACACACACAGTAAGTAGAAGATGAGGCACTAGGGGGCTTAGCTATGAATAATATCTTTCCTCAAGCAACTCACGAAATTATAGTTCTTATTTGGAGCTTTCTTTGACTTGGAATCTAGGTAGTGGGTCCTCTGGCCCCTTGTAAAATGTGTCACTTTCTTGATCCCCACCCTCTTCTCCCAGTGCGTGTTTTAGGGGCACCCTTCCTCATCTTGAAATCTGGTTATGTGTGTAACTTAGGAAATGGCAGCCTTTTGTTGTAGAACACCAGAACAGAGAAAGAAGAGCCTGCACCCCTGATCTTTGGGGTTCACTGCCAATTTGCTCGGCCTCATAAAATGGCACAGACACTTTCTTCAGGATGATTTGGGGACTATTAGAAGGACAGATTCCAGAGTCACAGTCTTGAGCACTTTGGCCCCGAAATTGATGCTATCCCCTTCTGGTTTGGGGGGAGGGTGTTCACAATGAGGCTAGGGAGCAAATAAGTAGAATATAAGGTAGAGTAAGAGGTCTCCAGATTGGGGAGAACATCAGAAACTGGGAGAAAAATAAGCATGTGGCCCATTGTTGGCAGTCCCTGGAGCCCTGACTGGAGCCTGAGTGGGTGGCTCTTCAGGGACAGTGTTGGGGTCATGCTTAGGGCTTGTGTTCTGAGGACAAGCTACTGGGTTTAAATTCTGGCCCCACCAATAATCACCTGTGACTTTGGGCAAAACCCTGCATCAATTTACTGATCTGTAAAGTGAGACAATACCTTAGAACCGTGGCAGTGTCTGGGACATAGTACATGCTCAGTAAATGTTCATTTCCAAGAGTGCATAGTGCTTCTCAAATCGCAGCAGAGGCCTGGGTCTGGGTCTGAGTCTGATCGCTGCATCCAGTTTGTACGCTGGCCCCTCCCCTGCAGGCTGTGCCTATGCTCACCCGGATTAGCCAGAAGGATTTCCTTTAAAGCTGTGCAGGCCCTCTTCCGGGGTGTTCCAGGTGCAGGTAGGTCACTTGCCTTAGTGGCTCCTCTGTCCTTTATCTCCCTGCCAGGAACACTGCCTGGAGTGAATGAGCCCTGTGGAGAACGCTTTTCTGCACACTAGAAGCAAGCGAGCCCCACCAGGAGGTAGAGAACGCTGCAGATCCACGGCCCAGCACGTGCATTCCCCGAGGCTTCTGGAAGCTACCTCATGCTAGGGAGATCGCACTAGCCATGGGCCTCACACCTGGCATCTTGCTACTGCTGCTGCTGCTGGCCCTGGGCGGGAACTGCATCGCAGGAGGGCAGCCTGCACCCACAGACAGCCCTGGGCAGTTGCATTATGCACTGCCTCCAATGACGTACGAGACCCCAGACGCCTACTCAGCCGGGCCCATCACCGTCCTCTTCCAAATGGTGCACAGCTTCGTCCGTGTGGTCCAGCCCTACAACTTCCCCGAAGGTACGTGTGAGCCGTGGGGGCAGATGACACCACCTCCACACACCACGGAGCGTGTCTGAGTGACAGTGAGATCTTACAGGGTGAGGTTCAACGTGATTTGTACAGGGACAGAAAAGTTAAGACGGGCACCGGCTTAATTCATGTGGCAGCAATGTGGTTCTGAGGAAAGGAATCCAACTGTGTTGCTCTGTTGGTTTTCTAGTTCTTTATTTTTGCTTTGTTTTGTTTTGGTTAAGTCAATGGATTGTCCTAAAGCACAGACCAAACAAAGGGAAAACCTAGGGGGAAACTGCAAGTTCTCTGTTATGGAATGAAACATCAGTTATTAATGACTGTTGGTCAAGCTGGTGCTTAAAAATGTAGCTCCCTTCTGTCTGTCCACTACAAGACGCCATTTTGATGCTGGGTATGGCGGCCTGGGGCCTGGCTGAACCTGTTTGCCTGACTGACTGCTTAGGTTCTAAGGCTTTGTGTGTGCGGAAGGGACGGATGGCCACTTCCTGGAATTTGACAGCGCAGTGCTGTTATTCTTTACATACAGGACTGTTTCCTGCTTTGCCTTCTCATTCTTCTTCCTAATCATTTGAACCCAGAAGGCCCCTGAGGTGTATGATCTAGAACAGGACCGTGCAAAGGAAAATGTAAACTGGGAAGTATCTGCTAGGGTTTGGCAGACTGGATGTTTGAATAGCTCAGTATTAGATTTAGTCTATAAAGCTTGTCTTTTTAAATTCTTATTTTTAGTAGTACCTATTTGCAGTACCTGATAATTGCCATCATTGTGGGGTTGATGCATGTACATAACACATCTTAGTTCTGTTTTCATCCCTTCTCCGCCTTCCCTCCCTGCACCTTCCACCTGTTGGTCCCTTTCCCATTTGCAAGAGCTCTGTCTCCACTTTTTTCCAATTCTTTTTTTTTAATCCCCTTTCCTTTCCCTCTCTCTCCCTTTCCTCCCTCTTGTTCCCCTTCCCATTTGAAAAAGATCTTTCTACTCCCTATTATCTTTTATTTTACTCTGTATTTATATCGTATTTAGGGTTTCTCATAAGAGAAATCGTACAATACTTAAGCTTGTGTGTCTGATTTATTTCACTTGATATTATGGTCTCAAAGTGCATCCATTTACGTACGAATGACTCAAGTTTATCCTTCTTTACAGTGGAGTGGTACTGCTTGTGTATAATTACCACAAGCACACCCAGGGTTATAGCAGCACAATTCATAATAGCTACATCTTGGCAACAGCTTACATGGCCATCAACAGATGAATGGTTAGGCTTGTCTTTAAACTACAGAGATCTGAATACTGTCATTGATTATAAAACTTACAGCAGTCTTTTTTTATTCTTTTCTTTATGTGGTCAACTATTATGCATAGAAAGAGAACATATATTTAGTAAGCTTTATTACTTGTTTATGTATTGAAGGAAGTTTAGAGGGTTTTATTAAACTGCATTTTTATTGAATTATTTACCTCTGTTTATCTTAGATCAGTTAGAAACAGTTGGAATACAGTTACCAATTTTTGTTAGTTTAAATGTCAATCCAGAGAAGTAAGTCAGACTGTGTCCTTGTTGTCATTGGCAGGAATCCTGAACTAATAATTCTATCTACTGTTTATATCACTGCTCAAAAGACTAAATTCTGAAATCCAAAAGCCAAAAAATAAAGTCAGCTGAGTTTATTAACACTGACTGCACATTTGATGTTTTGAATAGCTATCCCTTAGTTTATTTGTAGAGTTAATGAGTATTGTTGAATAAACAAATTACTAGTTTTTCTAGATTTTGCTGTTCCTTTATTTACATATAGACAAAGCAAAGAATCCAGTTTCTTAATATGAATTTATAGTGGCTTCTTTAGAAGGTTGGGAACCTTCCCTGTCTGAGTCTGAAGGCATATAATGCGTTATTAATCCCATAATCTTCCCCCATATGTTGTTCTATTTTGACCCCTCTACATTTCATAGGAAATCTAATACTTTACTATGAGTGGAGTATTTAAAGTCTTTGTTCAAATGCCAGGTGAGATTTCCTTTAGCTTTATACAAAACTTGCATTCGAAGGTTTTGAACTGCCCCAACATTGTCGGTCTAGAAGGAAATGTCAAGAATTTAAATCCAAAACTGATCTGAGGGTGTCAGCCTGGTTTGTGCCTTGACCTTTATTAATACTTATTACCTTGGAATGAGAGATTCCCAGAAGTTTCAGGAGTAGGTTAGCATTACAGCTTTGGGAGAAAACTATTGTCCTGCTTAAAGAATATAGCGTGGAACGTAACAGACGACATCAAGGTGTCTTGGATTTCTCCCAACCCATTTTTTATATTCTTTGACCTATGTTACTGGATTTTATAATGGTCTCAGAGTGTGCTCTGGGTGCCTTATAGTGTAAAAAACACATAGAGAGCAGTCGTAAATTTTACATTTTGGGCCAGTGAATTTTATAGGTACCAGGTCGTGGCTTGATATCTTCATAAGTGAAGATTCAAAAAACAAACAAAGAAGAGGAAAGAGAAAGGGATTCCTGTGCCTTACTTTTTAGTTTAATTAGCTTCACACATTAACCAAAACAGAAGACTTCAGGATTCATCCCATGGGTACATTTTTCATTCGAAGGAGTAGAAGTGCTTTGAATGCGAAGTTCCAGAGGAGGCTGAGGAATGGAAGACACCAGACTCTCTTTTTTTGCCATTGGACTGGGCAGTCTTTCACTTTTTATGTCCTGTGTCCAACCAAAATGGTTTAACCAAGTGTGTCAGTCAGCTTTTTCTTCCCTGGAACACAATACTCGATACTTACAACTTAAAGGAAGAGAGGTTTAATTTGCCTCATGGTCAAGATTCAGTCCTTGGCTGGCTCTAAGGCAGAAACAGCATGACGGGATGGTGTGGGAGAGCAGAGGTAGTTCTTGGGGGATGGGAAGCAGAGCAGAACAGGACCTTCCCGGAAGGGCCAGGGACCACATAGAGTCCCCAAATTCATGCTTCCATGACCCACTCACGCAACCCAGAAGTGTGCTTTATTAATTCCCAGACAGCTCCTAAGTCAGTCAACTGCCACACAGTTTTGCATTTGAAACTAAGAGAAACCTATGTTGCATCCTGAAGGAATCGGAGAGGGAAGGGCCTTGTGCAGCAGGGACTTGAGACAAAGGTCTACTTCTTGGGCAAGAAAGAATAGATTAGACTGGACTAGGCACACAGGTAACCATGAGACGTGGCCGAATGTGCGTGAGGACCTGGTGAATGTGTGTTTTACAGATGTCTGCCTGGCTTGTGGCTGCGGGACTGGGACAGGATGGTGGGTTTGGGCTCCCTGAGAAGAGAAACATACCTTACCTTGGAAAGAATTGTTGGAATTCTTTGCTCATTCTTTCAAAAACAAAAGCAGGATGACCAGGGCAGTGGAGGAAAGGGCCTTCCAGGTGGAAGGAAGGTGGTGTTTAAGGAGTGGAAGAGACGAAGTTTCCAATCCGGGGTCTGTCGTCCCTTCAGGTTACAAAATACCCTGGACTGGTGGCTAAAACAAGCCATTTATTTCTGGAGGCAGGAAAGCTAGGAGCAAGATGCTGGTAGATTTGGTTTCTGGTGAGGGCTGACATCCGGTTTGGCATGCCTCTTCTAAGTCTGATTTTTCTCCCACAGTCTCTGCCTTCCAAATGCCATCACGTTGGAGCTCACAGCTTCAACACAGAAGCTTGGGCGGGACACAGGCACTCAGCCCCTAACTGTGACTGAGGTGGAACTGGCCGAGGTTGGGAGAGCCAGGGGCCGGAGAGCAGGAGAGCAGGCGGGATTCTCTGGAGAAGTCTCTTTTTCCTGGGTGCCCTTGCTGAGTGCTGGGAGCCAGGGTGTAAGTAGAATTGGGCTCTAGGAGAGCACTGAAAAGGGCAGCGGGTGGGACAGGTTATGGGCCGTGGTCCAGAGGGAAAGTGAAGAACTTAGAAGGAAGCAGAATGTGGTGAGGAAGAGGATGCAGTATCCATTTTCTGTCCACAGAACTTGGTGTAAATCTTTGCTCTTGCTTTTTCCTGCTGGGTGAGCTTGGCCAGGTTCTTCCACTTCCTGACGCTCTGTTCTTTCTGTGTGGCGTGACTGTCATCACAGAGCTCTTTACAGCTTTTGTTCATGATGCTTGAATGAGTTGACATAGGTAAAGCCTGTGTTTAAAACTGTGCCTCAGAAGCACAGAAACATCCTCTGTCATTGTAGCGATCATTAATTTTATTATTGGAGAGAAAGAGTTGACTAAATGTACCAAGACTGGTGTAGGGAGTGGACCCAGGAAGGATCATTAAAATATCCTTGCTCCTGCTCCTACAGCCCTTCCTACACTGGATGGTCTCCCTGGAAGCAATTTCACTGCTTCCGGGGCTAAGGGGGCAAAGTAGCAGGGTAGGCTGTGGAAGCCGGGCTCAGTGTGATGCTCATTGACTGGTCTTGGAGGGCTTTGTTTTTCTCCCTTTCTTTGCCACTTCCTGCTGTCCCAGTGTCTGCAGTAAGGTTGCTTTGCCAGCTGCGTGTTAGTCATTGTGTTCTCTCAACTACTTTGGGAGTTGGGTGATGAAGGTAGCTGTGGTGTTATTTCCATTTATTACACTCTCCTTTATAGCCTGGAAAACTGAGTGGGAAAGAGATTACGTATTCAAGATACATGTTAGCCTGTGGCAGGCTGAGAAACCCTTGGCTGTCTGATTGTGTCTCTGATGGTCCACAGGTACTTTGATTTCCTTTTATTTTACTGTAGTGCTTTTAAAATAAACACAGGTTTAAAAAGCAAACACACATGAAAAGAACAGCAAAAAAAAAAAGATTTTTTAAGAAGATAACTACAATAATCATGGGTTAGTATGAAAAATAGTAATCTTTGCACAGTAAATGTGAGCATTTCAGAAGATTATCCCATGCAGGTGTTGAGTAGAGCCTTTTTCTATTTTGTGTGGCTAGGATAAATTTGGCCTAAGTGAACATCCAGATTTGAGCCATTTTAATGAAGC